GGCCTCCACCTCTGTTTAATGATGGACGGTCTTTCTTCACACAAATGGCTTCTTTTACTCCTCTCTCAAACCAACGATTTTTTTAATACAATACAAACTTTATTAATTCTTCAACGGTTTTGGTCAGTTAGTTCTCAACATTTAAGCTCATTTCTCAGTTAAACTGTTTTCTTCTTGTTGTCTGTCAGTTTGTGTCTTTTTAAAAACTAAAAATCTGCCTCTTTTGATCCACATCTGTCTGTTTTAAATCCTGAATAAAGGAAAATGTGCTGATGTCAGATAACTCTCCAGCTGTTACATGAAGTCCTGAATATCCTGAGTTGGACTCATTAATAATAAATGTCTCTTCCAGCAGCAGCAGCTTTATGTTTTATAGATTTCTGACATGACTGTAAATAAAATSCAGTGGTTTTGTTTTGAGTCAGACAGTAACTGTTGTGAGTTTACAGGTGTCAGAACAAACGACCCGTCTTAGTTTTTATCTTGGTGCCAACTCGATCCATGGATCCTGGAGCCATGGATCCTGGATCCATGGTTCCTGGAGCCATGGTTCCTGGATCCATGGTTCCTGGAGCCATGGTTCCTGGAGCCATGGTTCCTGGAGCCATGGATCCAAGCAGCTTTAACAGAAACCTTCTTATTAACTCGTCTCTGATGGTCAGATTTATCTGTGATGTTAACATGCAGACAGCTGCAGATGATGACCTTCAGCACAGGACAGTTTAAACTTTGACCCTGCTGAACAGTGGAACTGCTTCATGTTTCTTTGTGAATAAAAAATAAAATCAACTAGACATGGGTTTTTACAATTTAAAAACAAGTGTGCATTGCCACGTAGCATGTCATTAATTAAGTTAATTGTGTGACAATATGAAGTTTAAAGAGATTTTTCGTTAAAGTTGCTTTAGTTGGGTTTTGAACCCTGATGTCTCACATGAAAGTCCATGGCGTTGACCACTGGACCATTGGAGCTATGGCGGAGTGTGGTGCCAGGGGTTGGTTTGTATGTGTGCAGAAAGAGGCCACATCGCCAATACAATTATTGACACTAAACTGCATAATGTCCTGATGCATCTCAGTAATCCAGGTAAAAAATCAAAAGGGAAAAAAATTGTATAGGTCCTCTGGATGGGTTCTTCTTTAATGAAACGTTTCGTCTCTCCTCCAAGAGACTTCTTCAGTCTGAGAGTTTCAGGCTAAATTCAGGCTTTTAAGCCCTGCCTCCATGTGACTGATACTCACATGGCTATCGTTCACAGGTGACTGATACTCACATCACATGGCTATCGTTCACAGGTGACTGATACTCAC